CCCCCCCTCCCAGTACGCAGCCTGAAACAAGGACTTGGGCTGTCCATTTCACATTTTTAAACAAAGCTTCACCTTATGACAGTACGTGGCAGAGCCCAGCAACAGTGTGCTGTTTTAACTCAACAAAAGCCCCCAAAACAAACATTTCTAAAAATATCACAGCTAAGAAATGTTCCACCATACTCAATTCCCCTGCAACACTGTCCCTTTTTCATCCCGGTGGGAATTACTAACGGCACGCAGGCGAGCGCCACACGGTGCATACAGCCCCTCGGAAACTGCTGTGTGCAGAGGGAGAAAGGAGCACAGACAGGCAACGGCAAAACCAAACCAAGCCCCAACACTCACCCTGCTACAGAGCTAGGTGGAGACAGTAATGTGAACCAGGCACCTGATTCATTACGTCCCATAAAATAACAAAAAATTCTAAGCAACTTCAAATTTATTTTGACAACCCAACCCTTTCTATTAACTGAGCAAATGGCAATTAAAAAAGGGCAGAGATGGTTTCCATTCATGATTGCAGTGAAAGTTGTAGCCTATTCCCTAAGAAGATTAACGTGCCCCTCCTCCTGAAAAAAAGCAACAAATTGATGGTGCTGTGTATGCATTTATGCAGAAAGATAAATAATTTCCTCCTTGCGAGTTACCGTCGGCAGACTTTGGCTGGGGGCTGGCTGCTATGCCTGGCACTGCCCATGCCTCTCCTGAAGTGTGCAGCACATCCTGCCGTAGTAATAATCACCATGGAAACTTGTCCATTTTCAACTGCGTTACCATGGGAAAGCACCAGCACACCCCAAATTTACATTTTTCACCTGCACACAGCTGAATCCTGCTCCCTAGGAGCAAAATGTGTGTCACTGCTGCCAGCTGGGCAGCTGGGCTGGTGGGAGAGAGGCACTTCCCTGCATCCTGCAGGCACAGCGGTGTTGGGATGATAAGGAGGGCAGCATCACTCCAAAATTGGATGGGTGAGGAGTCCCAGCTCAGAGATGTCTACATCTGAGAGCACGCAAAGAGCTTTGCTGGCTCTGGTGCTTACAGAAATAATTTGCTCGCATAGATATTTGTAGGACCAACAAACCTGCTAAGGGGGCAGGGAAAAGGGAGAAAAACCCCAACACCCCCCCCCACCCCCAAAGGCTAAAAAATGGCCAAGGCAGGGAAGCGGGAAATCTCCCAACTCTCTCCTGAGACTTGTAAATCCTTGGATTTGGCAGTGAGATGCTACAGTGAGTGCAAGACTACAAAAATACCAGGAGTTAATAGCAGAGGCTGGTTGGGTAAAATGCTAATAATTTATCAGGCGCGTTTGGGTTATTAAAAAGGATTTTCAAAAGTAAACAGATGCGTCATTTCTTTTCCTTTCCTGCTTCTGGCTTAAGGAGAGTAATTCCGGATTGTTCTCATCTCATAAAATGTTCTGCAGAAAACATTTACAAATACAGGGTTGAGGGTTTTTTTGTTTGTTTCCTTTCCCAGCCTCAGCCAAGACAGATTACAGGCAGGCAGAGGTGCCCACGCAGGAGCAAAAATCAACAGGAGCAAAAATCAAACCCCTGATTCAGAAAGTAACAAGTATCGGTATCAAGAAGATTGGGGCAGTCTTGTTCTGAAAAAAATTAAAAAAAAAAGGAACAGCAATTGTTTCTAAAAAGAAAGACAATGAGGAGACCGCTCAGCAGATTCAAGCTGGAAACAAATAGATGTTGCTCTTTCTGTTAAGGAATTAAAAATCCATTTTCTACTGTTCTTATATAATCTCTCCCTCCTTTTTAAAATGACCATTTTAAAAGCCTGTGGTCTCTACAGTGTACACCAGCATCTTTGCTCCTCCAGCTGCTGCAGCACAGCCGAGTACTTTGCACATGACACTGGCTCTTCCCAATGTTTCTGTTTGCTTGAGAAGCGTGAGATTGTGGTGTTTTCATAGAGAATTAATGATGTGGCAGGGACAGGAAATGACCCCCTGTTCCCCAGGCAAACCCATTTAACGTTGAGAAATAGAAAAATTAAGATGAAAATTATGCTGCGTAAGAGACTTGAGGGATTAGCATGCTTATGGACCCATGGAGAGACAGATCCCTCCTGAAGATGAAAGTATAAAACATAATAAAATTCCCCCATTGCTGCTTTAAAAGGTGACAGGGCTAGAGGCAGAGGAAATATCTAGATGAGGGGAAGAAGAGCTCATCTATCACCATCAGACACCTTGAAGAAATGCCTGCAGGCTTGGTTGGTGTTTTTTTTTAAAGCATAGTCAAATATTGTTTTCTAGACTGAATCCTTTATGTTTCTGGGATCTATAAATATACATTGTTGAGTTTACAGTCCTACACTGCCTCTGGGAGGGCCCCACTGTGCATGGGGAAGGAGAAGATGAGAAAGGGAGGTACAACCCTTGACCTAGGTTTATGGGTTTGGGGTGGGGCTTTTCCCCCCTCACCCTTCCTATGTGGAGGTGTACCTTTCTGTACTTCCAGTGCACCTGCTTCTTGAGCATGTGATTGCTACAGAAAAAAACCCAAACAATGTATTACATATACATGTACGCACTTGAAAACATTTCACGATCCTGCTCGCTGTACCTGCAGCTTGGTGGTAGCTGGCTGCCAGGTACAGTGGAGTCCCAGCACAAGTGCCTCCTGCGCCTTGTAAAGCAATTCTCGATTTTTACCTGGGAGGCAATCCCAGGGCTGCTAAACATGTATTACACTAAACACCTATTATCAAGGTCAGTAAGCAGGCAGAGTGAAAAGGATCCAAGACCCTAAGCCTCAAAAGAGACAATGTTTGAACAGCTGGGATCAGGAGACAGTTTGAAGTTGTCCGAAGAGGTGCTTTGTAGTTCCTGGACTCCTGTTTTATACTGTGCACACCAAGTACACGGTACAAAACCGTAAGTCAACGTGGTTCTTCTTAAACTAAGTAAATTTTCAATGTTGGCATTAACAGTGATAGCTATACTGTTTTTCTTCTTTAATAAGAATCAACCTGAAGTATGTGCTAGGTTTGTTTTTTTTGGTGTTTTTTTACGATTGCTGCTTCACTGCACATAAATCATTCAGAGTTACCCAGTTTTTAAAACAAGTTTCATGTACCTAATATACACAAATGAAGGTGATATAATTCAGTGAAATTGCCTTAAGTTTCCTCTGTCTACCACATCTCAGTGCTGGAAAATCAATTAATTTCACTTTCCCTACTTATCTATTTAATATTTAATTTGCTATTTGTTTTAATTGAAAAGAAGCTTGCAACACAGAAACGAGCCTTACTGTAAATAAACCGGGCTTTCCCACCGGGGTGCTGATAAGAGTTAAGTTCATGGCACTAGGCAATGATGTGTGTAACTGTACAGGAAATGGTATGTTAGCTATACAAAAATGCCATGAAAGAGGTGGTGATAACTCTAGCTTATTTTTTTTATCTCCTGCTGATGGCCATGCAACAGATTTTTCTCAGGGCTGTGGCGTGCCTTCCTGTGGGACCGCAGCACTGCACCGTGCACAGCTACCCCTGCTCTCTGCTTGCTCATCTGTGCTGCGGCTTGTACCTCACTATCGACACAGAATTCAAATTATACTGTGTACGCTGCAGGAAGGGTCTCAGATGCTCCCTTTGTGGGATGCCCTGTTCAATACCTCCTGAAAAAAATGGGTTTCCCTTCAGTACAAACACAGTATCAAACACAAAGTAAAATGAGAAATCTTGGCTTAATGGAACAGAGTTTGGTGACAAAATTGGACTTCAACATTTTGCCAAAACTCACTGCTTGTTGTCACTGATTCTCCTGCCAGAAGCAACATGTTTGATTTTTGTTCTGCAAAAGGTCATTAACAAGGGCCCTGGTGAGAGCACACCTCACAGGGACATCCCACTGCAGACCTGCTGAGCACCCCCGGCGACACACACCTGACCAGAGCACCATGCCAGGTCCTGCACGCCCTGGTCCCCGTCAGGCTGGTCCTGCCACTGCATGGCAGCACACCCCATCACCCTCAGTGCACCACAAAACCATGCACCCAACCTGCACCCTACTGAGGCGTGGGTTTCTGAAGGACCTCAGGGTTGGGCCTGCCTGTCCTCAGCAGTCTCAGCGACTGAAGCCCAACCCATCTTTCTGTGTCCTTCTGCAGTAAATATGCAAGTGGGCAACAAGGACACATATTGTCATCGACCCACCAACTGTAAGTCATCTTCCATCCTACAAATTTTTGTTTGCATAGTTTGAGCCATATACAAATAAAGGCTTTACTACATTCCAGAGGATGGCCATGAAGATGATCAGGGGCTGGAGCACCTCTCCGACGAAGACAGACTGAGAGAGTTGGGGTTGTTCAACCTAGAGAAGACTCCAGAGAGACCTTAGAGCAGCCTTCCAGTACCTCAAGAGGGCCTACAAGAAAGCTGGACATTTCACAAGAGTATGCAGTGATAGGACAAGGGGTAGTGGCTTTAAAGGAGGGGAGATTTAGATTAGAAAGTTCTTCACTGTGAGGGTGGTAAGGCACTGGAACAGTTGCCCAAAGAAGTTGTGGATGCCTCATCACGTGTTCAAGGTCAGGCTGAATGGGGCTGTGAGCAATCTGATCTAGTGGAAGGTGTCTATACCCATGGCAGGGAGGTTGGGACTACATGATCTTTAAGGTCCCTTCCAACCCTTCTATGATTCTATGATATTTTTACTGGTGCTTTGTTGCTAGAATAGAAAAAATGTATTTGGATAAAGTGAGCTTTCATACAGCAAATACATGGAGCTATTACTACACAAATAACTTACAGGTGGGCTCTCCCATACATGCAAACCACAGATGATTTCAGCAGTGTTTGCCTCTCACACTTCCAACTGATTCCTGTATTCAGGCACTTGGTACTGACAATCCTGGCTATCCTGCATACCCTTTTAGTAATCCTCAAGCACCAAAGGGCAGAGGAGTAACCAACTCCTAGCTAATGGTGAACTAGCCTTCTCCTCTGTGTTTCACCATTTGTGGTGCTGTGTTTGATACCCCGCACACCCCTCAGCTGGGTGCAGAGGCACCAGGAGGGCCAGTGGGACCTGTCCCCCCTCTGCTCGCAGGAGGGCTGATGGTGACCCCCTCTGAGGTATGGGGCAGGCAGAGCGGAGGAGAACCACAGGACATTTGTTAAGGCAACCAGCCCTTCATACTCCTGCTGGTTCACAGTTGGGACCCCAAACATGGTCCCATTGCCTCTGAAAAGGGGGCTTGATGCCCCCCCTTCATCATACTCAAAAGGGAACCTCTGGGAATGCACTTTTCTGTCTCCTCTGAGTGGCACAGAGGAAATATCTCAGTTTAGCCCTGTCCTCTCCCACTTTGTTCCCTTGACTCAAATACCCAGCAACTCCCTGTTAAGGTTTAGGAGGCACTTAAAGTGCCTAAAGTGCAAAATTGACAGGGCAAGGTAAAAAAGACGTTGGAAGGACAGGCAGGATTCACTCTGGTGAATCTGGTACCAGCCAGAGAGAGGAGGGAGGGCTGCACTGGGATATCGCTACCGGTATGAAAGCTACACCCACAGCCTTGGCTCACCATTCATCTGCACAATGTTTCCGGCTCACCACGCACTTACACACTGCCCTGTGTTACTTCTCACTCTATGGGAGCTATGTTGTGGAGGATGAGCTGGATGCTGCTGAAGAGCAGTTAAAATAAGAGCATCTCATCAGACAATTTCAGAAGATGCTGGAGGAATAATAAGGCTCTCACGCAGCCCATGCAACAGGTACTCTCTTATTTTCCACCACTGCACTATGGATCCTTCTGGGAGGCAAACCTGTTTGTGTCAAGGCTCCCATCCAAGCTGTTAAGCCCTGGGGGAGCAAGAGGGAAAGGAAATTATTACGGCAGTGCAAAACAGCATATTATAGACAGGACATTGACAATATGTATACACTGCTTCAGCACACAACACGATGGCTCTGAAATGCAGCAGCTTGACTGGCTGATTGTACTTTGGTCTTTTAAATAGTTCAGCTGAGAAATACCACAGCAGTCTGCCTACTGCACAGGCTAATCGCCTGCAAAGAGCCGTGTTAGAGTCATATATTTGCTAACTATATTGCCATTGTCAACAGCCTGTAGTTAGCAATCCATTCTGGGGAGGATAGAACTCACTTTCTTCTCATTTAAAAACAAATCAGACCAATTGAAAGAAAAAATCCAGTCATGGGCCTGAAACCAGTGTCTTTACTCCCAAGGGCAATATATACAAGACAGACGATAAATGCTGTGGAAGGAATAGAGCATTTGCCTGACAAATTTCAACCTGTAGTGAATTTTTATACCCAATTTGAAAGCCTCACAAAAACCCCCGACATTTGCAGTGGAAACTGTGACGTACCCCAAGCATAAGGGAGATGGCACATGCCGCCATACTGCCAGATGCCTTTTCCCTTCCTCTGCTCCATTCATGAACTATTCCACTAATGGGATATAACATCTAACGGACTGTCTCCTACTTTCAAAAGGAGCACCGCTCACACAATACATAGTATTACATATAAGCAGGCACTATAAAAAGAGCTCTGCTTTGAAATCATTTGAGATTGATCTTGCTATGCCCAAATGCTTGACTTTCGCATATCCACAGCACATTCCAGTTCCTGGGGTCTCTAAACTGTCATGCTTGGAGGAACCTTGCAGCAGTTTCTGAAAAATAAACATTTCGAATGGTGGTTTATTTTTTTCCCTTGCCATAGTACAGAAAGGCCTAAACAGCAGCAGCTTGCTTAGCCTGCAGTAAGCTGAACACATGCTCCAAGGCGGAGACAGTGCACGGAAATCTGATGTATTAAACCTGACATGTGAAGGGCAAATATAAATTTGCCAGCCATAATTACTGCTGTGTCACGTGCCGCCCGGTTCAGCGACGTCCCTTCGACCCAGCGGGCTCCTCTGATTCAGTGAAGCTTTCGTCCTCCAAATTTCTGTTCAAACAGGGAAGACAAGTTACTGCTTTTGCAACTGCAGAAGTGTTTGTTTAAATCATCTTTCTGTTGATGCTGCCAGCAGCATGCAGGTGTCTCCTCCCAAAGCTTGACACAGTCCCTTGGATGGGGATGATGGTGGCTGCAGCATTGTGTTGGGATGTGTGTATCAGTAACACAGCCATCACACCCCCGCCCTGAACGCCTGTGGTGGGGAGGTGCTGCCTACGTGGCCCTGAGGGAGCATCTTCTCACCAGCAGCTTCCCAAAAGCCAAACTGGAGGGCTGCTTGGTCCCAGGAAAGTCCTGATGCACGCTCCTCCTCACCTCTCACCCCATCGTGTACCTCTGCTTGCTCAGAATCACTGAATCACACATGGGTTGAGGTTGGGAGGAACCTCTGGAGGTCATCTGGTCCAAGCCCCTTGCTCAACCTGTCAGGTACTCCAGAACATGGCCAGATGGCTTTTGAATATCTCCACGGATGAAGACCCCACAACCTCCCTGGGCAACCCAGGCCACGGCTCAGTCACCCTCACAGTGTAAAAAGTGTTTCCTGACGTTCAGAGGGAACCTCCTGTGTTTCCGTTTGCACCCATTGCCTCTGGTCCTGCCACTGGACACCACTGAAAGGATCCTGGCTTTGACCTCTTTGCACTCTCCCTTCATATATTTCTATACATTGCTGAGATCCTTCAATGCAACTTTGCCAATGCAGCCCAAGGTACCATTAGCCACCTTTGCAGCAAGGGCACGTTGCCAGCTCACATTCAACTTGGTAATCACCAGGAGATCTCAGGTCTTTCCTGCTGAGCTGCTTTCCATTGGGTGGCCCCCAGCATGTACTGGTGCCTGGGACTGTTTCTCCCCAGGTGCAGGACTGCAGGACTTTGCACTTCCTCTTCTTGAACTTCCTGAGGTCCCTGTCTGTCTGTTTTCCCCTCATGTTGACGTCCTTCTGGATGGCAGCATGACCCTCTGATGTATCAGCCGCTCCTGCCAGTTCCAGGTAATCTGCAAACTTGCTGAGGGTACACTCTGCCCCATCATCCAGGACATCAATGAAGACACTGGACTAATCCCAGTACTGACCCCTGGGCTACACCACTAGTCACTGGCCTCCAACTAGATGTTGTGCCACCGATCACCACCCGCTGGGCTCGGCCATTCAGCCAGTTTCCAATCCACCTCACTGTCTGCACATCCAGCCCACACATCAGCAGCTTGTCTGTGAGGATCTTATGGGAGACAGTGTCAAAGGCCTTCCTCAAGTCAGGGTAGACAATATCTGCTGCTCTCCTCTCATCTACCAGTCTTGCTTCTCATACAGTAGGACAGCTTCCCATAGGGGTGTCCTGATTTCGACTGGGATAGAGCTAATTTTTATTTTTTCCTTCTTAGTAGCTAGAATAGTTCTGTGTTTTGGATTCAGCATGGGATTTGATATGGGAAGAATGTTGATAATGCACTGAAGTTTTCAGTTGTTGCTAAGAAATCAAGGACTTTTCAACTTCCCATGTCCTGCTAGCGTGCAAGTACACAAGAACCTGTGAGGGAGCGTAGCCAGAGCAACGGACCCAAACTGGGCAATGGAATATTCCATATCATATAACATCATGCTCAGTATATAGATATGGGTTGATTGGGAAGCTCACTCTGGCTTCTGGGATCATGGTTTCAGGATCCTCTCTTCCTTGGGACTGTTAGCTGGGAAAGGGCTGGGCATGGGTCAGCGAGTGGTAAGCAATCAAATGTGCGTTATTCATTTGTATTTTCTATTATTACTATTATTATAATTATTCTTTTAATTATATTTTAAGTATTAACATTGTTTTTATCTTGACCTACGAGTCTCCTTACCCTTACTTCTCCAACTCTTTCCCCCATTCCTCAGGGATAGGGGAGGGTGAGCAAGCGGCTGCATGGTGTTTGGTTGCTGGTCGGGTTTAAACTATGGAAGAAGGCAAATTGGCAGTGGGTCAAGAGTCTAAGAAAGTCTAAATTAAAATGAATCAGGGAAAAACTGGACTTACTCTAGGGATCTCTCTTGCATCAGAACTCCTGAGATTTACTATACCTTGACCTCCACGGTTTTCACACGTGTTGTGCACCCACGTGTTTACTTTTGGAGTGAAATCGTAGGAAGAATGCAGACTCACGCTAGAATTAAAAGACTTCTTAGGCTTGAAAAGTAAAGTGCATGATTTTCCTATGGGAAAAAAATATTTTAAACAATTTCTCCTGTCATTAAATATCTCATTTAACTGATTATTTAGTATCATTTTCAATCAAAACATTATATTCGCCAGCAAAGCAAAGAAAAATGAGCTGTTTTGAGAACACAGAGCTAAACAAAACAAACAAAAGAGATGTTACTTTACAGTCAATTTTAAAAACCATGCATTTTGTTTTCCCAGCAATCGATACACCAATGATAACAAGAGGAAAAGGATACCAATTAAATGTAATTGCCAACCCTGCTTCCCCCAAAACCCGAAACATAAAGCACTCAGTGTCAGTCTGATAAAATATTTGCTCCTTTCCCAGTCAAGCGCTTTATTAAATACTCCTTAAAACATCTCAGTTCTTACAAAGGATTTCCAAGTTTGATGTCAGTGAAACAACTTCAAAGCCTCATTAGTTCCCTGGCAGAGGTTTGTTCTCTTCCCAGAGACACTCGGCTCGCTATTTTGTCCTGACCCTCTCCACTGATCCCAGGGTCAGATATTTTTACTACATTCGTTTGATCTTTTCCGACATCCAGATGAGAATTGGTATCAGTGTGGCAAAGGCTGCCATCCATTGCCTGTCTCTTATTGCTTAGATGAATCTCTCACTCCTGGTTATGAGGGACAGGGATCCCTCACAGACCAGTTACCAAGTTTTAGCCAACAGGTTAGTGAGATAAAGTTAAAAATCAGGTTTTAAACTGCTACAGCACTTTTGCAGGCAAAACATCTAACTTTTCCCCATTACACCAACATGGTTTCAACAGCTTTGGCTGTCTTCCAACCAGTCACACAATGAAAGCATGCCAGAGTACCTCTTGAGGGGTAAACCAGCTTCACCAGCTCAAAACTCATAAACAAAGAGAGGTGCCACCAGCACCGCACATGTCCCGAGAGCCCCAGCCCCTCAGACATGCTGCAAACCCTTTCCCATCCCCTCCTTATAGCACACCAGTGCCAGTTAAAAACCACTTTTCCTTGATGCAGACAAGGCCAGTATAGGGCTAACCTCAGCACTGCTGAGGGAATTGCCCTTAAGCTTGTCTTGCTTGCTAGACTTTCTTGAGACAGAAAGGAACTAAAAATAGAAACCAGTTTTATTGTATTTTAAAGCCATGGAGGTTAGAATAACAAATCCCGATGCTTCTGTAACTCATTTTAAAGCAACTGAAAGTTTTCACACAACTCTCATCATCCTAATATAGTCTGGCTTAAATAAATGTGAGAAGAAAAGCAAAACTAAGTAAAAACCTGAATCTTCCAGCTCACAGATCCTTTCTGGTGAGGTACAAATGCTCCTGTCTCAGACCACAGGTAAGGACATGGAGGTGATAAACCACATGCACGTGTGCCACCCAGCTTGCCACTGTGCCCCTAAGGTGCAAAACCCTTCTCCTGCCTATAGCTCTGACAGCTCTCAGTGGCACAGATGACACAATTTAGAGATGGGCCAAAGAGATAAGAACCAAAAATAGACTTATCAGCTTCTCTTTTCTTGTGGGACAGCATCTCACCTGGGAGCACAGGCAGATACGAAGGTGCAGGAGTATCAGGATGCTGCTCGGGGAGCAAAAGGGTGGAGAAGCCTTCCCTCCCATGGTGCAAAATGTTGATATTTAATACTGCATCCTTCTCCACTGGCATGAGTAACCAAATGCTCCTTCAGCTTGCCATATCAAGATCAAGTTTTATGTTCATAGCTTCAGATTTATTAGACTGACATTCCCTCTCCTCCACCCCTTCACTTTGATAAACTAAGCCCAACATTTCATCAGCTACATGACGGTGCTAATCCTCAGCAGATTTCAAACTTGCCCTACTCTTGCACCAGCTTATTTAAAAATGTGTGGATGGGAAAACTTTCAAGCAGAAATAGCCCCTTATTTTCATCCTTGCAAAATTTGTAAGCAGCTGCAAGGATGTTGTTTAAAAGAGACAGAAAAATGTAGGACTCCTGTGATGCGAGGAAAACTGCAGCATTTTTTCTTTGAATTTTGCATCTTTTTACACACTCACTTTCACCCTAGTGTCTGTACCATTTCCTGGTCTGACTTTGACAGGCAGAGAAATGACCCCTCTGTCGTGCCGTGATGCATAAGATGTCAGCCTTCTGACTGGATTCAAGCTAACACCAGCATGAGATGCAGCATTACAGTGCTGATGGATATAACAAGAAGATCTCACAACTTTTCGATGTGTTTTCACCCTCAAAGCCTAATTTAGCCCTCCTAGAAGACCCTGTACTGAACTGTGAAATACAGATGCTTCTGACTGCAAATAATACGCAAGTAACAGAAAATATGGAATATCTGTCCTGTTGCACCTCGGTGCCACTGAGGTTACTGCTATTCAGGCAACTGGTCCAGATCACCTGTAACACCTACAAGTGCCCTGCATGCACATGCATACCTGCAAGTACTTCTCTAGTGCCTTCTGCCTCATCTGTTTGACTGTGAGGCCTTCTGGGCAGCAATCGTTTTGTTGGCACATGATTAGCACAAAGCCCAGACCTCAGCTTGGATTTCAGTTACCGCTGCAATCCAGATTGTCCATCATTTGTGGGGATGGGTGGGCACACACACACACTCACGGAGGTGGCACGGGGCTGCCTTCCCTCTCATTCTAGCTGCTGGCCACTACCTGTGGTTGTGTTCCTTCAGTGTGCCTTTTACTTCCATTTCATCAAGGTCTACCATGTTTTTCTGCTTCTGGACCATTTAGAGTCTGCCTAAGTGTGACTGTTAATGTCCAAATTTTACTAATTTGATGCTATATGAACAGCGACCTTCCAGACAGTTCCAATGACTATTCTCCAGCCGGGTATCCTGGCTCCGACTGACACACTGCTCATACTGCACAGAGGTGAGACTACTCCAAACTGTGCTCAGACCACACAAAAAAGTAATATTGATCTTTGTCATCGGGTATTAAGACCACTCAAAAGAAAAGAGTTATATCTCAGGAAATGCAGGCAGGGCAACCAGCACTCTAAAAATAGCGTTGCTACTGTAGGTAAAAGTAAATATTATTTTCCTGATACTGTGAACTAGTCAACATGAACATATTTCGCAGACATGTATTGCAAGAGGAAGCAAGGTCGGTCCTGCCCATACTTTTCCATCAAACCTTTGGAGAGTACATACATCAAGATGAATGCAGTATACCGAATTTTGTTATTATCACCTCCCCTATCTTAATGATGGTTGCGTGGTTCCAGAAGAGGAGTGTGCTGCCATAGGATATAGAGCCCCTGACATATTTACTGCAGCATTTTTCACCAGCAATTTCCGCTGCGATGTGTGCTATTACGTGTTCAGAAAAACTTAGAGAAACTGCAGGATGCAGAACAACAATTACATCTTTCCCAGATGAGACTACTACGTTAATGGATCGGCGTCATCCATCACCATAGATCGTAAGTCCTCTGGGGAACGTCACCAGGCCACTCCAATAAATCTGACGGGGAGATTTTATATTCAGCTGTTCAGCTCAGCCTTAGGAAGCAGTTTAGCAACACACTCCACAGCATGACTACGGCTCAGCTCTCCTGGTGAAGTGATGTTGCTCTATGGCCATGAAGCTCTAGATGTAGGAGATCCTTGCATGCCAGTGTGGAAGGGCATATAGGACTGCAGCCTGACATTAATTCCTCACACAGTCTGTTCTTCAAAGGACTGAATTTCAGTACGCAGATCACAGACTGTGAAGGAAGAAAGCT